GGAAGGGGTCTGAAAAAGCTAAGACCTCATTTATCAGTGAACCAGGGATCTTCTGTGGAGGTCAACTGAGAGCCTGGTCTGTGAACCTGAATGGGGAAAAGCACACATCTTTCTTTACCCAACTCCACCTAATGTAGTGTCCACTGGACATGAATGTAGCCAGCAAACTACTGTAGTAGCAGCAGGACCTGTGACTTTGTTCCTAGTAAAACTCACAGGTCTCTAGTTCACACTGTGGTGCTCTGCAGATGCCTTAAAATACGACACTAGGACACTACACTGAAATTACAGAAGGTACCATTTCTGTTGCCAGACCTTGTAATTTTATATGTTAATAAAGAACACAGATTACTATTATTACAAACTTACTTTCTATAATATTTTGATAAATATATTTCAATACAATGGTTTCCTCTGTAACCTATATATTAATGTTATGCATTAAAAACATTATTTTGAGAAGGGCTCCAAGGCCATAAATGTTAAGAACCCTAGAACTGACCCTTCTGTGCAGGGGTTAGGGAGCTGACACTTGAGAATAATCAAACCCTGTGCTGCATATGAAGGGATGGGGAGGGGCAAGGGAAGAAGGACTGGGGGTGAGGGCGGAGCAAAGTCAAACTCATTGAGTCTGCAATTCTGCCCACGGTCAGTGCTAACAAGAATGCCCAGACATTCACAAACCACAGGTGCCATGATGATCGCAAACGAGAGAAGCATCTTGTGTTTGATTCTTGCTCCCAATTCACACCCATACCTTAAGGGTAAAAAGCGGGTCCTGTAGAGGATTGCTCCGAGGGTCCACTGCACCTCCTTGTCATACACCTGCAAGGCTGTCTTTAGGGTTTTATAGTTGACAGGAAAGGAGAAGCCCCTGTGAAACACCTCGAACATCCAGGCAGACTTGAAGCACTGGTACCTGCCAACACCAAGCACACACAGACGTGGGACTGACTCACTTGTCAAAATAAACTGTCACGACAGTCTTCCCCTTTGGGACCAACGTGGCTGTGACGGCTTCATGAGGCCAGTGCTCTGTGCAGCCACACCAGCCGTTTGTATTTCAAGGTGATTGACGTGGTCTATGCCCCTTATCCCACAACATGAAACAGTTTACCTGGCAAATCAACCAGCTCATGAAACCTGGCTCAGGAGAATTTAGTACATTGCGTGACACAATTTTTCCTCTGGCATTCCAGATCTTACTCATTAAATAAATGCTGAGCAAGTTCCAACTTCTTAGACCTCATTTTCGTTATTATAAAATGAGAAGAGAGGAGGGTCCTTTTCTCTGTTATTCTATGATTCTAACTATTTATCAGAGGCTTATTTTTTGCAAAGCAGTGGGCTAAGCAAGTTATTAAGACACTAGAGGCCTGGTGCACAGATTCATGCACATTGAAAGGAAACTAATTAGAAGGTGGCAGGTGGGGCGGGACTGGGCGAGATGGGCCAGACACGCCCTGGAGCCAACCTCTCTGGGTCCCTCCCCGGCCGGGTGTGGTTCAAAGGGCGTCTACGGAGTGAGCGGGGTCCCTCTGGCAGGTAAGGTCCCTCGGCTGAAACCGGCTTTCTGACATCCCCCAAGGGGTCCCAGAGTGCGAGAGGGCACTGCACAAAGCTGCTGTCGTACAGGGTGTGGAACGCAAACACAAGTGTGCAGTAAACCAAATTTGGGGCCAACAGTACCCAAGTAACAACATAACCCACAGCCAAAGGTGAAATCGCATGGCCCTGTGAGGAATCGGGCTCCCTCCTCTCTGGTTCTGGGGTGCATCACCCGAGAACCGCCACTGCCAAGTCACCGCAGCTCAGCAGCTCCTGCGTTAAGCGTCTGCCCCTGGTAGTCAGTGAGTGTCATACCTACCAGTCAGTCGGCTGGTCGCTTAGCCTTTTATATATATAGTATAGATAATAACTATAATAAGTAATAATATACTAGGGGCCCGGTGCACAAAAATTTATGCACTCGGGGGGGGGGGGTCCCTCAGCCCGGCCTGTGCCTTCTCCCAGTCTGGGACCGCTCGGGGGATGTCCACATGCTGGGTTAGGCCTGCTCCCCGGGGGATCGGGCCTAAGCTGGCAGTCAGGCATCCCTCTGGCAGCCCGGGAGCCCTCGGAAGATGTCCACTTGCCAGCGGGAGCAGGCCTAGCTGCAGTCGGGCATACTTAGCGCTTCTGAGGAGGCGGGAGAGGCTCCCGCCATAACTGCTGTGCTGGCAGCCATCAGCCTGGCTTGTGGATGAGCAGAGCTCCCCCTGTGGGAGCACACTGACCAACAGGGGGCAGTCTGTCCCCTGGTGGTCAATAAGATAATAAATATACTTAAATAACTTATAATGAAAGGATTTTTTTAAAGCAAAAAATAACTATCAACAAAGCAGAAAAGGTAAACACCACTGGAGAGACATAATGAACGCTCTGGAGACCCAGAGGGAAGAAGGGAGTCTGGCTGAAAGAAAGACTCAAAAGGGACAGCGCCCACCCTGACTGATCTGGGCAGGACTTCAACAGCCAAGGATGAAGAGAGGAATCCAGGTGGAAAGTGCAGCAAAAGTGAGCAAAAATACATTTGGAGCAATATATGTTTGGGCATAAGTATTTGTCATCATGTTTGAAAGGAGGCCAGGACAGAAGAGGAGAAACAGTGCTTGACAAAGATAAACAGGTGGCTGGGCCTGGGTGCAGCGAGCTAGGGGCCCTACTGAATGTGCTGTTTCTAAAAACACTCTGGGCTTGGCTGTCCATGACTTACTTTAGCCTGTGGAGGTCAGCGTGAGAGGCATACAGTCCTCGGTCAAAGCGTTCTCGTAAGATCGACCACTTTGTTGCACAATAATCCTGAAAGAAATTTTACCCAAAATAAATAATCAGAAAAGGTTTATTAAAAATTTGTTTCATTGAAAAAAGTGTTTACCAAATTCTTATTCATAACAAGCATATCCTTCCAATTAGAACAGAAGCCTCACTTGTATGTGTGTACCAAGAAGACAAGGCACACAGACATGCAGTGAATACTACTCATTAGCAAAGTGCTTGTTCTTGGTCTTAAAATTCTGCCAAAGTTACTGTTAAAGAGACAGTCTCTCCCACGAAATTCTGGGAAGACAAAAATGATTACAAAAGACTGTGTCTTTCAGAGAAGGGAAAGAAATGCCACCTTTCCCTGAAGCTATCTGTAATCATATTAATAGCTTACATGTATTGAGCACCGTGTAAGTACCTTTTCTGGATGTAAATCTTAAAATGACTCCTCAACGTGGCTACTATTCTAATCTCTATTTGAAGGATGAAGAAACTGAGGCTCAGAGAAGCTGAGCAACTTGCAACAGGGCACACGGAGAACAGCACTCAGCCTGGAGTGAGAGGGTAAGGACAGGCATCTCAGGCACAGGAACCACCTTGATGAAGATGAAATGGGAAGTAGCACTCGTGAGGGAAACCAACAGCTGTCTGCTGCGATCACAGTATAAAGAGCTAGGTGGGGAGATGACGCTACAGGGTGGGCATGACATGCTAAGGGATCTGAAATGTATCCTGGAAGGAAAAGGAAGTGCTGCAGGTCTTAACAGGGCAGGTGATGGCACGGCGTTTTAACAGAACACTCTGGGAGTGGCTGGAAGATGAATGATGAAGACGAGATGCAAGAAGACCAACTGGGAGGCTCCTGCAATAGGGCAGGTGACAGAGGCCGGGACGAGGACAACAGTAGGACAGAACGCAGGGAGAGCTCTGAGAAATATCTATGACATCAAGTAACAGGGGTATCCAGCGAGGGATGAACAAGTGACGGGGGAGTCTATAACTCCTGGGTTTTCTGGGAGGGGACTGGATGGTTAGTGATGCCATTAACTGAGACCATAACAGGGACAGAGTGGGGAGAAAATGGTGGATGTATTTGGAGTTGTGACATCTAGCAGACATGGGGTGGGGGTCAGAACTGCAGCCTCTTCTTGTGAGACAGCAGCAAATCATGAGCATGGATGACATCATCCAAGAACTTGAGGGTCAGAAGAAGGCCAAGAGTGCAAGTCTGGGGTCACCAAGGTTTAAGGGGTTGTGAAGGGGGAACCCATGAAAGAGCCTAAGAAAGTGTCAGAAAGGCAGGGAGAACAAGAGAATAGAAGTAGGAAGGCTGCATGGAATACTGTCAGATGATAATTCCACTATGCACACTAGTGTGAAGGGCTGTAATCTGGGAGCCACTGAGAGCAGACTAGTTCATGGAGTGGGGGCAGAAGTGAGTTTCTTGCTCCTGCTGTGACTATTTCTCTCACCCAATTCCCAATGACATCCTCCACCTTTCCCTTCTCTCGACCTGGGCCTGGGCCTCCAATCGTAAAGGGAGGACGTGACCTGCCACTGTCTACACCAGTCTCTCAAAGCACATAGAAAATGCTTTCCTTGAAGGTTACCTTAGCAGCTTTAGTAAACGCAACCGCATTGTAGTCTCCTCCCATTCGTAACACATCTTCAGTGCAATAGTAGAATTCAGAAAAGCCATAGAACTCGCTGTTCCGGAAGTGGATGGGGGGCTGGTAGACACCATTGAGGGAAGTCTGTGTCTCATTTGTTTTGTTCATGAAAGGCTGGAGAGTCTCTCGGCACAGGTCGAAGTCTCCCGTTCCCCGCAGGTACATGGTCTGCCCATTTTGCTGGATTTCATCTTTAATGTCTAGGGGTAAGCAGGGGTCCAGGTATGGAGTGTCAGGAGCTAGACCAGTCTGCTTCCCCAGGAGCCTACAGGACAAAGAGAAACTTTGTCATGAGACCAACAGAAAACTGTGCCCGAAGAAGTGGCTCGGAGCCAGTGCCTCTCAATATGTGTTCGGTGGAACACAGAGGGTTCTAGGATAATTAGGTGAGGGGAAGACACACCTGAGCCCCACTTGGAGATTATGAGACACGCTTCCATATGACAGACACCTTCACAGAATCCAGTGAAACAACTACCTGGTCATGTGACCCAATGCCTTCCGTTCCTTGCACACAGCCTGGAGTCCCCACCCCTGAGTGCTCATGGTTCGTAAGCTCTGCCCACTCCTATGTTCACAGCTCCATTTTGCCACTAGCACTTGCGATTTTTTATTATATAAAGATGAAATATGACTGAAAAAAGGTAGCAAGTGAAAATGTATCCTGTGAAAACTAGGTTAGCCCTAACTGGTTTGGCTCAGTGGATAGAGCATCGGCCTGTGGACTGAAAGGTCCCAGGTTCGATTCCGGTCAAGGGCATGTACTTTGGTTGCGGGCACAACCCCAGTAGGGGGTGTGCAGCAGGCAGCTGACTGATGTTTCTCTCTCATCGATGTTTTTAACTCTCTATCCCTCTCCCTTCCTCTCTGTAAAAAATCAATAAAATATATATATAAAAAAACAACAAAAAACAAAAAAACTAGGTTAGATGTCTTAGAAAAATATGATAAAGGCAAGTTGCCAGAAAACTGCTGTCAAATTAGGTGTTAGCAAGATTTAAGAATAATTTAGAAAAAGGAGTAAAAATCTACACAGATTTGGTATCAAATTCTTCAAAAATGTCTTTAAGTTCCTGGTATTCTTTAAAGAAAGTTAAAATGATATCGAGCTGAGTGAGGGTAGTGTACACCTGAGAAATGACGGTCGTAGCCTTAAAACAATACTTCAGTCCAGAGCAAAAGATTGGCAAATAAACACGTACGCTAAAACAAAATGCTTGAGATTTGATTCTATTTTTATAATTCTCTGTTTTAACTGATTTTTTTTTTAATATATTTTATTGATTTTTCCCCAGAGAGGAAGGGAGAGGGATAGAGAGTTAGAAACATCGATCAGCTGCCTCCTGCACACCCCCCACTGGGGATGTGCCCACAACCAAGGTACATGCCCCTGACCGGAATCGAACCCGGGACCCTGTGGTCCGCAGGCCGACGCTCTATCCACTGAGCCAAACCGGTCAGGGCTGATTTTTAAAAAATTAATCAACTACTGACCTAAACTGTTGCATATAACAGCATTTCTATTATAGGCTCTGAGAAGCTCCACAGAAAAATCTTAACTTTGCTCACCGAACTGCACTATGCTTACTAACTTGCCAGTGAAATTCCCAGGCATCAAGATCTGTCCTCCTGCTATGTGTACTCACTGGTAGGCATCTGAGAAACAGGGACAAGCTTCCAACACTGGAGTTATGTTAGTGTCTGATACCATGAAATCACAGGGACCTACAGGGTTTTAGCTACTAGGAGAGTGCCTGATTCAATATTCAGTCACTGACAGTAATCAAGTGTTCACTAACCACTCAACTGACAAGTTGTTTATTCCCAAGATCAGGAGAACTCAAAATGCACTTGAATGTAATAAATTAAGGTCTTTGCTACATCTTAAAAATGTTTAATTAAAAAATCAATCATCACTACTAATGGCAAGGAGATAAATATACATTTCAAGGCTCAAATTCATAACATATATAAAAAGTGTTTCTACCATTTATAATTATTGTAAAAGTCCAAGACTAGTCAAATGTATACTTTATGCTACTGTTTTAGTTGCTTGCCCTTCATCTAAATTAAGAAGTACCACTCAATTGTCCATTATACAAGTTTGTTGACATTAAACCAATAGTAAACATTAGGGTTGCAGAAGAAGGCATTTTTCCAAAATTCTGATTCAAATATCACTTATGATTTCTATTTTAAGACATTTGTAAAAAATAATTATACTAAGATGTGCTATATAGAATACTACCTTAAAAAAGAAACCATGGGTCTACCAATCTCTTAACAACACTATTCAATTACCATCTGGAGCGAAGAACAAGTTTTCTTGTCCTTTTCTAGTTACAAATGTGAATTTCTGAAAAATGTGGTACCAAATGGCTCTGACTTCTTGGTCTTCCTTAAAGTTCGGGCCTCCACAGGTTTAAAATTAAACTGATCAAGGAAACATACTATCATTTATCTCTATGAATAAGAATTTCCCCCTCAAAATTGTTTCATCAAAATGAAGAAAACAAAACAAAATAGTAATTAATAGGATATTTTACTTGACTCCCCATTTCAGATATTTTTATCCATCCAAATGGCTTTTCTGTTCTATGGATTAATTTCAAATAAATAATTGTTATATAGTTAAACTTTTAAAATAAATTTAAACTGACAGAGTGTTGCTTTTATTTGTTTTAATATTTTCTATACCAGAATTCTTCAGAAACTTGTTTTAAAAAGTTTCACTGATGTGTTTAAAACCACTAACTTTGACTTCTAGATCATTTCTTTCTCTTGCATAACTTCCTTCACTACGGTCTTATCCACTAAATAACTGCACAGGCTGGTTTTCCAGAACATCACATAATTCAATTTTATCACCAGTGACAACTCTATCACACTTCCTACAGGCTCCAGGACTTCTGCCGTGGGGCTGGTGTTGAGTTTCCCAAGGGCCTGCAATCTGGAATGCATTACCCAGGGCTCAAAACTACTAATATGCTAAGAGTGAAATTCTCCTCCATCAGGGGAATGGGTCTGAGGGACAGCCAGCCTCCTTTGGAGCTTGGTGGGATGTCAGGCTGAGGGCAGGACCCTGGTATCCTTTCACTTCCTCTCTCACTCAGCTGACAGGCTTCTGCTGATGGAGGTCTCCCTGCTTTGCCTCATATGTTTTCTAGGAGGAGAGACCTGGATTTGAACATGCCTGCTGAGCAATGAAAGGTGCTTGCTTTACCTGTTCTTTTGAAACGTGTTGGCAAATATCTTGTCTTCATATCTCTGTCGAGCAGCATTGCCACCAAACCCAAGAAATGTGGCCACATAGACTCGGTACACATGCTCAGTCTGGTGAACATCACATCCCAGGTTAAATTCAGCCAGCAAGTTCTTAGCTACTTCTTCCTGACGACGTAAAGATAACAAATGTTAATATTTTAAGCAATACAAAAACAATCACCTTCTTTAAAAAGAAGGATCTAAAAAATTCTCATTTAAATGGAGCAAAAATTTCTGCTTCTGTATTTCCTTTTAAGCATCCCTCCTAATTCAATATGATAATTCTGACTTAAGAGATTTCAGATGCAATGCCCATTTGTGGAATTATTACAACTTTTTGAAAAAGTAAGTTAGTAACATAGTTCATTTCTGCTAACCTAGTAAATCTATTTAAGGAATCCTATGCTTTGGAAGTAATCCTAAACATTGAAAAGTCTCTGTACACAAATGTCCTTTGCAATTCTGGGACAGAAAAAGCTGGATGTCATCTAAATGTACGACTCCTAGGAGGGTTTATAATTTATGCTAATCAAGTTCATGGAGGAAGATACTTATGCGCTATTAAAAAAAGGGCACAAAACTGCGTAAACAGTAAGATTATAACCATATTTTCAAAAACTATAAATAGGGAAAAAAGAATGAAAAGAAGTAAAGCCAAAATGATAACAATTTCTTCATATGATTCATCCATAGGACATTTTTAATACTGATTTGTATTTTTCCAAGCTTGCTTTATATATTTTTTTACTTTATTCTGAAGGGAATGACATGACTTTTTACCGAGTGTAAGTTTACAGAAGCATGTCTAGATAGGAAGTAGGAAACACTGATTGTAATACTTGAATTTACAAAGCACTCTTCTAAGGAGTTTAATAAATATATCATTTATTGGGCAAACACCAGGTGCCCAGCAATGTGTTAGATATATGCACTATGTCATTTAAACCTGATGATAACTCTATGTTAGAGGCACTTGCATTCATATTCATAGATGGAAACCAACTCAGAGAAGTTAAGTTACTTGCATAAGGTCACACAACTAGTGAGGACAGGATGGCGATGCAGCCTAGGCTTCTTGTCCAGCACCAGTCTTTTTTAACTGACACTACGCTGCGTGAAAGTGGAGGGGACCCGGCTTTGGTATTAATTTACAGCAGAATGGAAACAGGGTGATAAAGACATGCAGCAACTCAGGAATGTATCTGGAAACCCTTCTGCTGCTCTCCCCACAAGGCCACCGGCCCTTGGAAAACTGCAGTGACAGAGAGCACTGAAGGGATGGAGAAAAGACAGTAAACCGAAGTTTAGGAACATAGAAGCAGTGAATACAAACCTCAGTCCTTTCTGGAAAAGTCGAAAGCTATCTGCACCGTTAAAAAAAAGTATTTCCCTAATTATATCAAGAAATCTGATGCTATTTTAAGTTTTTCTAATCCCTGATGAGAAAAGAACTGAAAATAATATACAAAATTGAAGCATGTGATTGGCATGTATATCAAAGAAAAACTCCATGTAAGTTCAGAAAACAAACCAGCTGACTTCAATGACCAAACACAAACGGCTTAGGGGAGGTTTGCCTTGGCTTCCTCCTGTCTCCTTTCTCCTGGGTTGAGCAGAGGTACCTCAGCAAGCACAGTAAAGGCGTGTTCAGACTCAGAAAATAAAACAAAAATGGATGGAGACATGTTAAATGAAACCAAATCAAAAAGGAGAAAATTTGTACAGATAATAACCTGCTGTGAGGAGGCAAAGCTTACAGTTTTGGGGACTTCGTATGCTATCTGAGTTGACACGCCTCCCATGTCGAGAATACCGGCAGTTCTTTTCCGGAGAATGGCTTCACTGCTCTCACTTCCAGGAATGTTAACCTCCACGACTGCCTCATCATCTGGAAGCATGAGAAACACCCATGGGAACAGAACAGATCCAGAGAACTGGGATCTTCACAGAGGCACCTTGTTTTCACGGCATGTTTCAAACATTTCTAGGCAAACCCAGCCTCCTCTTCCCAACTAAAATCAAGCTGTGCGAAACAGCAACTCCTCTCATTCCACCTACACACACTTAACTGTGTCACAAAACTTAGCTCCTTTTTATCCTTTCACTACATAGAAAAAGCCACAACTTCCAGTTACACGTATTAGTTGGAAACATGATACTTACCATCTTCAATATGCTCAAATCGTCCGAGGACAAAATTAATGCCGATCCAAGCATACACACCTGTAGACATTGCACAGGGTAAAGATAAGAATAGTTTTTAAATACTTTGTATAACTCTGATCAATGCTGTCTGTGCAAACATCTCATTTATTTTACTCCCTGACAACCTGTGAAAACATCATCTGAAATAACACATTTCTACTATGTATTTTATCTTTTCCTAGTGGCTTTACAAGAAATCCCTAGTTTAAAATTTTTAGTTTCATATCATTTACATAGGTTCAAAATATAACTCCCTAGAGCAGTGGTTCTCAACCTTCTGGCCCTTTAAATACAGTTCCTCATGTTGTGACCCAACCATAAAATTATTTTCGTTGCTACTTCATAATTGTAATGTTGCTATGTTATGAATTGTAATGTAAATATCTGATATGCAGGATGGTCTTAGGCGACCCCTGTGAAAGGGACGTTCGACTGCCAAAGGGGTCTCGACCCACAGGTTGAGAACCACTTCCCTAGAGGCTAAGTTTCCTTAGAAATTTATAGGTTGTTTTCAAATACTGGAGTTTTTATTTTTTATGAAGTTAAACCTATCAGTTGCAAGGTTTACAAACAAGTTAACTTTGACTCTTCCGTTTCCTTTATCCCTTACTTTCACTCATTTGCAACACCTGATTCTCTTTTTACAACATTTCCTATATCCAATATCTTTACCCATTTTCATTACCATCTTAAGCTGTTACAGAGATCCCATCTTCCTACCCCTACTCTTCCTCTCCAACCCACTCTATTCTCTGCTACCGAACTGATCTACAGAACAAAGTCCACATTTCACAGCTGGACACTTCAAGACCTGTCCAATATTTTTAATTGAATAAATTGGACATGTAACATTCTGTAAGTATCATATACAGTGTGTTACTTTGATACATTTATATGCTGTAATATATTGCCCTAACAGTGAAATTTACATTACATAATCATAGTATAATTTTATTATCTTCATTATGCAGTTGAATTTAAACCTGGTATTAAGTTGACCTGCGCAATTCAAACCCTCAATGTTAAAGGATCAACTGTACTGTGCATTAGATCTCTATGGCTCATTTACTAAACACCAACAATCTTACCCTCAACCCCCATCCTCTGGTAACAACCATTTTACTCTTTTACAGGTTTGACTTTTTCAGATTCCAAAAATAAGTAATATTATACAGCACTTGTCTTCCCATGTCTGACTTATCTAGCTTGACATAATGTGCTCAAGGTCCATCCATGTTGTTGCAAATGACAGGATATCCTTCTCATGGCAGAATATTTTTTATCCATTGATTGTTGATGGGCATTTGGGTTGTTTCTGTATCTTGGCTATCGTGAACAATGCTGTGATAAACATAAGAGTGCATATATCTTGTCAAAGTCCTTTTTCATTTCTTTTGGGAATAAAATATCTAGAAGTGGAATTGCTGGATTGTACGGTAGACCCATTGTTAATTTTTTGAGAAACCTCCATATTGTTTTCCATAGTGATTAGAACAATTTACATTCCCACTAACAATGTACAGTATAAGGGTTTCCTTTTCAACACATCCTCACCAGCACTTGTTCTCTCATCTTGTTGACAGCCATTCCACAATGGGTGTGAGGTGATATCTCACTGTGGGTTTTTAAAATTTTTATTTTATTTTTTCCATCACCATTTTCATTGTGCTTGTAATTTGCATTTTCCTGATGACTAATAACATTGAGCATCTTTTTATGCTCCTGTTGGCCACTTTGATGTCATCTTTGAAAATGTGTTTCATTCTTCTGACCATTTTTCAACTGTATTGTGTTTTTTTTTGTTGTTGTTAAGTTGTATGAGTTCATTGTATATTCTGGATATTAACTGTTATCTGATATAATGCTTGCAAAAATTTATTTCCATTCTGTGGGTTTTCATTCTAATTGTTTCTTTTGCTGTGAAGAAACTTTTGAGTTTGATGTAGTCCTATTTGTTGATTTTTGCTTTTTATGTTTGTGCTTTTAGTGTCATGTCCAAAAAATTATTGCCATCATGAATATTGATGAGCTTCTTCCCTAAGTTTTCCTCTAGACATTTTGTGGTATTAGGTCTTACATTTAAGTCTTTGATCCATTTTGAGTTAAATTTTGTGAGTGGTGTAGACAGGGGTACAACTTCATTTTTCTGCATGTGTTTCTCCAGTTTTCCCAGCACCACTTGTTAAAGAGACTATCCTCCCTGCACTGGGTGTTATTTCCCTTATTAGCTGACTGTCTAAAGCAGGGATTTACTTTTGGGCTGTTTCCCTGGTTGATGTGTCTATTATGACTGTACCATATTGTTTTTATTACTATGGCTTTGTAGTAGTTTGAAATACAGAAGTGTAATACCTCCAGCTCTGTTCTTTTATTCTCAGGATTGCTTTGGCTATTCAGGGTCTTTTATAATTCCATACACATTTAAGAACTGTCCTATTTCTGTGAAGAATGCCTTTGGTATTTTCATGGGGACTATGTTGAATCTGTAGATGGCTTAGGGTAGTATGGACATTTTAAAAATATAAATTATTCTGATCCATGAACAAACACATACTGTCTTTCCATTTGTTTTTGTTTGTTTTTTTATTTCTTTCAGCAAAGTCTTATAGTTTTCATTGTACAGGTCTTTCACTTTCTTGGTTAAATTTATTCCTGAGTATTTTTGCTTTTGATGCTATTATTTCTTTTTCAGATGCTTCATCATTAAAGGAATACAACTGATTTCTGTGTATTGTGTATCTTACCACTTTACAGAAAATGTTGACTCAATGATTAGTCAATTTCTTGAATGATTCTCTGGGATTTTCTATATATATCATCAGCAAATAGTGACAATTATACCTTTTCCTTTATAATTTGGATGCTTTTTATTACTTTGTCTTACCTAATTGCTCTGGCTAGGCTTCCAGTACTATCTATAAAAATAAAATATGCTAATATGCTACTTAGACCAGACAGCTATATGACCTGGACGACCTTCTGGACGAGGGCAGCTGCCTCAGCTGCAAGGGCTGAGCCCCTTGCACAAATTTCATCCATCGGGCCTCTAGTATTGTATAAGAGTGATAAGAGCGGGCATCCTTACCTTGTTCTTGATCTTAGAGGAAATACATTAATTTTTCCCCATTGACTATAATGCCAGCTATGGGTTTGTCATATATGGCCTTTATTATATTGAGGTATACCCAATCTATTAAGGGTTTTTCATAAACAAATGCTGTAATTTACCAAATGCTTTTCCTGTGTCTACTGAGATAATCATGCTATTTTCATCTTCCATATTATTAAAGTATTAAGTACTTATTGATTTGCATATGTTGAATCCTTATTGTCTCGGGAATAAATCCCAGTTGGTCATGGGGCATAATGTGCTCTTGATACTGGTTTGCTAACATTTTGTTGAGAATTTTTGCATCTATATTCATCAGGATATTGGTCTACAGTTTTCTTTTCTTGTATCCTTATCTGGTTTTGTCAAGGTAATGCTTCATAGAGTGAGCTTTGGAGTGTTGTCTCGTCCTTGATATTTTGGGAGGAGTTTGATGAGGGTTGGTGTTAATTCTTTAAATGTTTGGTAGAATTCTCAGCCATTTGACCCAGGGGTTTCCTGTGTTGGGAGTTGATTACTGATTCAATCTCTTTACTCGTTATTGGTTGTTCATATTGTTTATTTCATAGTGATTCAGTTTTGGTAGGTTATGTTTCCAGAAGTATATCCATTTCTCCTAGTATATCATTTGTCGGTATGTAATTGTTCATAATAGTTTCTTTTGATTCTATGCATCTCTGTAGTACCAGTTTTGTTATCTTTTTTATTCTCTGGTGCCTATTTCATTTATTTCTGCTCTGATCTTTATTATTTCCTTCATTCTACTAACTTTAGGCTTGATTTTTCTAGTTTCTTGAAGTGTAAAGTTAGGTTGTTTATTTGAGGTCTTTCAAATTTCTTAATATATGTGTTTATTGCTATAAACTTTCCCTTCAGAACTGTTTTTGCTATATCCCAGGATATCTGATATGTTGTATTCCCATTTTTATTTGTTTCAAGACAGTTATTTCCCTTTTGATTTCTTTGATCCATTATTGTTTGGAATGTTGTTTCGTTTCCATATATTTGTAGATTTTTCTCACTTTCCTCTTATTGACTTTTAACTTTATACCACTGTGATCAGAAAAGATAGTTGGTATGGCTTCAATCTTCTTAAAATTTGCTAAAATTCAGATAATCTATTCTAGAGAATGTTCCATGTGCACTTGAGAAGAATATGTAGTCAGTTGTTGTCTGGATTGTTCTGTAGATGTCTGTTAGGTAAATTGGTTCTAATATGTGGTTCAATTCCAACATTTTCTTGATTTTCTGTCAGAACAGTCTGTGATTGCTGATAGTGTGGTATTGAAGTCCATTGTATTATTGTATTATTACCTATTTTTTCCTTAAGATCTGCTAATATTTGCTTAATATATTTTGGTGCTCAGGCGCTGGGAGCATAAATAGGATGTCCCAAAAAATATATACACACATTTTGAATAACTATAAAGGCAGTGTTTATTAAAATACATTTCATTTTCAAAACTGAGCTATTGGCTGTTGAAGTGTGCATACATTTTTGGCGGACACCCTGTATATTTATGTCATAGCTTCTTGATGTATTGATCCGTTTATCATTATATAATGATCTTCTTTGTCTCTTCTTACCTTTTGTCTTGAAGTCTATTTTGTCCAATGTAAATATGGCTACACCTGCCTTTTTAAAGTTTCTATTTGCTAGGAACACTGTCTTCCTTTAACTTTGAACCTGTGTGTCTTTAGAGCTGAAGCAAGTCTAAAGTTTCAGCTCTATAGGTAGCATATAGTTGGGTCTTCTTTATTTTTTAATACATCTAATCACTCTGTGCTTTTTGGTTGGTGAGTTCAAACTATTTTCATTTAAGATGATTACTGATTGGTAAGTATTTACTATTGCCATTTTATCTTTTGCCTTCTGGTTATTTTGTCTTCCTGTTATTTCTTTATCCTTCTGTTTCTGTTCACCTTTGTAAGTTAGTAGTTTTCATGGTGATTTGCTCATTCTCCCATTTGTTTGTTGTTGTTTTTTTGTATCTCTGCTCTAGATTTTTGCTTTGTGGTTACCATAAGGTTTACATAAAACAGCTCATAAATAAAAGTATTTTTGGCTGATAACAAATTTATCTTCATTTGCCTATAAGGGTTCCATCTTTTTACCCTTCCCCTTTTATATTTTCAAGCCACCAATTATCTTTTTATGCTGTGATTTTGTTACTAAGTTGTAGTAGTTATTTTTAATGCTTTCCTATAATGGTTATGCTATAATTGTTTGACATACTATTCTAAAAAGTTAGTTTCTAATATTGTCTATCACCTTAATCAGAGTTTTGTGTACTTTTGTCTTTTCATTTCAGCTTGAAGAGCTTTCAATATTTTTCCTAAGGCCGATCTAGTGGCTGGTGAACTCTCTCAGCTTTTGTTTGTCTGGGAAAGCCTTAGTTTCTCCTTCATATCTGAAGGAGAACTTTGCCAGATAGAATAATCTTGACAGGCAATTTTTATCTCTCAGGACTTTGAAATTGTCATCCACTCTTTGTTGGCCTATAGTTTCTGCCGGGAAATCTGCTGATAGCTCAATGGGGGTTCCTTTGTAGGTTACTGTCTTTTTTTCCCCCCTGGATGTCTTTACAATTCTTTATCATTGATTTCTGACAGTTTCAATATAATGCATCTTGGAGAAGGTCTTTTTGTGTTGAGATAATAAGTGTTTTACTAGATTTGTACATTCAGTTCATTCCCCAGGTTTGGGAAGTTCTCAGTTATTATTTATTTAAATACACTCTGCTCCTTTCTGCCTTTCCTCTGGTATACCCATTAATCTTATATTGGCTCTTCTAATGGAATCTATAGTTCTTGTAGGATTTATTCACTTTTGAAAAATCCTTGGTTCTCTCTCCTCTTCCACCTGAAACATCTTTATATTCCTATCCTTGAACTCATTTATTCTCTCTTCCATCTGATATGCTTTTCCCCCCAATACTTTATCTCATTTACTGAGTTCTTCAGCTCCAGAATTTTTTTTAGAATTTCAGTCTCTTTTGTAAAGTACTCCTGTTCATTAATTTTATTCCTGAGTTCATTTCATTGCCTTTCTGAGTATTCCTGTAGCTTGCTGAATTTCTTCATAACAGCTTTTTTGAATTCTTTATCAATTAGATCACAATAGTCCATGTCTTTGTGTTCAGTTACTAGAAAATTATCATTTTCTTTTTGTGATATTATATTACAGTGATTATGGTGTTTGATGAAAGTGCCTCTGTTGAGCATTTCAAGTAGTGAATACCTTTCTTATCTAGGTAAAGCTTGGTTTATTTTGATTCTAACAATTCAACAAGTTCCTAAGTAGAGTACTTTCTTTTATTTTCCAGAAGGTGGCACTATAGCACAAGTTTTTGGTTTCTCTTACCGGAGCTCGGTAGGTTGGCTGTATGTTCATAAAAAAAAAGTTGATGGAGGGGGATTGAGGGATAAGAGTGGCCACTGAGTTAGGGGAAGTGTGTGCTTAGCACTTGATGGTTTGGGTGTGTCCACAGAACAGAGAGGGGTATCCTCGAGTGAGGGGTGTCCCAGATATCCATGGGTGTTCTCTTTGCCTTTTCCCTTCCCCCAGTCATTGTGATGTCTTCTCAGAGACAACAGGTTCCTCCAGCTGCAGCACACACAGCCAGATAGACCCTCACTCACCATCTTCATCCTCCACCTCCTCTACCAGAAAGGCTGTCCTGGCCTGCTGCACCCCCCTGCCACTACTCACCTGGCTCCACAGCCTCCTCTAGGATTCAATCCACCCACTTTCTGGTAGACAGATGAATAGATCTTTCAGGTGCCCTCATGTGCTATGCAGAGGTGCTGTGTGTGTGTGTGTGTGTTTGTGTTGTTTTAAATGTCTAATTATAAATTAAAGGGGAGAGAAAGAAGGAATGATTCACGCTGCCATGGTGATGATGTCACCAAGACCTGTCCAACTTTTTCTATTATTAACACCTTCAAAAGGGCCATAATGCAGTCAAACTAAAATATTTTTGTTCCTCCGTCTATAGTGCAGCTTTTTCGACCTGTGTTGACTCAAACAATTTCTTCTGCCTGGAATGTGCCCTCTCAGAGCCCTACCTATGCCATGCTCTGGCATGCTATAACTACCTCATTAGTTCAAATGCCATTTTCTCCATGATGCCCTTAGCTAGAAATAAAAAGTCTTCCTCTTTCAAATTCCCATGATCTTTTTTCCTTACCTTCCTTAAGGTATCTAAAACTGTAACTCACATAGCAGTTAACTGTGTACCTCTCTTGCTTGTAAACATAACAATGGCAATGTCCATATTTCACCCAATTCTGTATTCTCTACAGTGTCTTTCATAGAGGAGGCATTTGCTAAAATGATAGATGACTTTAAAATAAATGTTTTTTATTTCCATTTCTAATAAGCTATTAATCAAATAATGTCACTGACTTGTCATTTAATTTACAAAGAAATCATTTCTTTGAAAACAGAACTAATATTTTCTCAGTGTATCAAAGTCAAGAATAATTTTCCCTTCCTAGAGAGAAAATCAATAAAAGGCTCCAATAGCTCAGTAATTATCGTAATTCCAGAAAGCTGTATATCTTAGGCAAGGAGCACAAAACTTTTCTATCAAAAGGAGTTTAAAATTCATTTCCTACATGTGGTGAAGATAAATTATTTTTGCAATGGCTTAATGTTTGGATAATAAAGGTCAGCTATGTAAGAAACTAATTTAAACATTTAAAAATTATAATATTTCAAAGCTATGGTTTTCCAAATTTTAAGATATTAGGAGTAACTTAATAAAGTATACACAGTGGGAAATGGAGGATTTAAAGCAAGTTTCCTAAATTTCAAAGTGAAGACCAATATACCAACCTTCCTGTTTCCCTGAAATTACTTCTGCATGAGAGTCAGAAAACAGAAAGTCAAAATGCACAGGGATATCAGTCAGAAGGTCTTCCAAGATGGCTTTTTGCTGGCTATAAGACAATCCAAAGTTGTACATATCAAAACATGACATACTAAATTTTTGTTTTTAAAAAGGACCCCCCCCGCCCCATACACACACTATTGCTCTGGTATATCCTATATAGTTTAAAACCAAAGCAATTCATTGAAAAGATTGTTTATTTTAGGAATGAATTTTCAAGTGGAACAATGAATGAATTTTCACATGTGTATATTATGTGATTCTTAAATATAAAACTACAAATCCTTAAACTAATAATATAGAAAATCAATTTTTTAAATGACAACTTTATAGTTTACTATTACAGTCATAAATAAATATATTAAAAGATAGTGAGTTCTAGCTAGGAAATAGTTCTGGCACTATTCTATATTTCAAAAAAGAAATTTAAATGTCTTCCTTTTGGTGATGATGATGGAAGAGGAGGAAAAGGAAGAGGAAAAGCAACAGGAGGGAAATGAGGAGGAAAATATACCATCACCACCACCACCACCACCACCACCACAGGCCTGGACTGCTCTCACCTTTCAGGAAGGACCCTCATGCCAGCTGTGCAAAGAATGTAGAGAGGGGTTTCTTTGTGTTTTGCCCGTGGCACATGCTCTGCAGCAAAGTTGAGGAGCGGAGAAATGTAATCACTGACTTTCTCTGGAGAGGTAGCAAATTCTGAAATGCCTACAGAAAAAGGACACCTCTGTTAACAAGCAGATATTTCAGCTAGTAAGTTATACTTCTTCAATGTGGCTAATTTGAGAGAAATTCAAGCTATACACCATACTTTCCTTGTTTTTTCCTATCCCTCTGGCAACACCTTTCAGTTTCTCTTCCTCAAATGATGGTACCAAACGTTCAGTCCCACATCCTCTTATTCTTACTCATCAAAAATTACAGACCTAACTGAGCATCATATGTGTCAAACACTTGGAGTTGATTGCACAGGAGCTCATCGCTGCCCTTGGGAAAGAGCTCCCACTTCCCTCACTCTCATGGTTGGCATCACCATCAGATTTCTCCTATCAGATCTCTTCTCCAATCTGCAGATCAGTGTGTGGTTACTGCCCAATGAACAAGGCTCACCACCCGCTCACAACTCAAATCTGGACTCAACAATAAACCTGCTCTTACTGCCTGTTACCCGCCTCAGTGACCACTATCACTAGCCATTCAGTGGCCCAAGCTGATATCCTAAATAAAATATCTCTCCCTCATCCCAACATGTATTGTGGGTTTCATCCATTGCCTCTCCTTGGTTCCTCTCACATTTTTTCACTTCTCTTCATCTTTTCTGAATACCCCCACCTTCTGCCAGCCTACACATCCTACTGCCCAGTCTTGAAATTCCCCGACCATTCCCTGTGCAAAAGGGGTCTCTTTCTGGCTTAAAATCCTTTGGGCTCCTCAGTGCCCTCCAGATAAAGCTCAACTCTAGAATGGCATCATAACCTGCTCTGCATACTCACCCATCCTGTCTCTTCCCACATTCCTTCCATTTGGCTTCAACTATATGGAATAAAATTTCTACATCATACTCTGGCTTTATGGCCACTGTACCCCCACCAGGAATAGCCTTCTCTTTGACTCCCTACCCACTTCCCACTTCTTTTCATCTGGCTAACTCCTCCTCATCCAGAGCTACTTCCTCTATGGAAGTCTTCATCAGCAGATCCCTGAAGATGAGCTCTCTTTACAGTCTATGCTTACCTTTACCTCTAGTCGAAGCATTCATTAACTTATCAAAATTACCTACTTATTAACTTGCTTGTCTCATTTCAACTGGAAGTTTCTCAAGGGCACAAACTGTGTCTTGTTCAAATTTATATTCTTAGCACTAACAGTGTCTAGAAAATAGTAGGTGCTCAGCAAATATTTGCTGAATGAATACATAAGTAGTGAATATTCCTGTCACTGAGCCTATAATACTAAAGATGAGGGGAATTTTAGAAGTCCAAAAATTCCTTACTTCACAGACTAGGAATTTGTGGACCCAGACAGATAAGTGTTGCTGTAATGCTGTAAATGAGAGACCATGCTTCCAGATACAGAAGAGCTATAAAAAGGTTCTTGATGGTCTACTTCAAGCTATAACAAGTGCTATATAGTTTGTTTTTTAAAATCCTGGTGAATTTTTCAATTGATCAATATTACTTTAACCCTGAAAATGTTTCTAGATTAGGAATACACAAAAATTTCAGGGGTGGAAAATAGAAAAGTAAAAATTAAAAGTCATCCACTAAGACTTAGAGAAAAAATGATCTTTGTTAACAAAAATGTACTCTGATTCAAAATAATGCTTGCAACAAGAACTCAAATTAAGTTCCCTCTCTTTTTTATTTTTATTTTTTTTAAATATATATTTTATTGATTTTTTTTTACAGAGAGGAAGGGAGAGGGATAGAGAGTTAGAAACATCGATGAGAGAGAAACATCGATCAGCTGCCTCCTGCACACTCCCCACTGGGGGTGTGCCCGCAACCAAGGTACATGCCCTTGACAGGAATCGAACCCGGGACCCTTGAGTCTGCAGGCCGATGCTCTATCCACTGAGCCAAACCGGTTAGGGCTAAGTTCCCTCTCTTTATCCTGAAAAATGAAGTAGAGATTTTGAATTTTCTGAGCACTATGCTGGTGCCAATGCCTAAACATCAAGGGACAATAACTTGTTGAGGGTTGCCTACAGAAGGAAGTGGGGCCTGAATTATTCAATGGAGAATGAGTAGGACTCAAGGGGTCAACAGTATATGTAGTTACCATTTTATGAGGACAGATATTCTATTATGTTACAATTGAAGGTCCCTCCCTGGCCAGGTAGCTCAGCTAGTTAGAACCTCGTCCCGGTACACCAAGGTTGCAGGTCCAATCCCTGGTCAGGATACATATAAGAAGCAACCAATGAATGCATAAATACTAGTAAGTGGAACAATAAACCAATGTCTGTCTGTCTGTCTCTCTCTCTCTAATCAATAAATAAAAAGTTAAAAACAAAGCTGAAGCTCCTTTTCACTTGTTTTTGAAATAGGAGATGATTATGATAATTATTTTAATCAACATTCAATATATTTTAAAAATAAATTCCTTGGGTTGTTTGGGTTTAATATTTTACGATCTAACATAATTGACAAGATGAAATTAAAGTAGTGAATCTCTAGTGTCTTTGGTTCACTATTTTAAATCAGTGATTATCAACTATCAAGACATAAAATGCCTATTTCAAGGTCCTGACACCTTCCATTACTAATGTTATTGAAGAAGTGTGCTGCCTGTGCAAATTATATAGATAACAACAACAAAAAAGGTTGAGAATTACTTATGTAAATTATCTAACAGGGAAGGCACATCTCAATTTTTCTATAACTCACTGACTTAGAAATTGTATGTCTTTAAAAACCGGACATATTCCTGGCTGGTATCCTCAGTGGTTAGAGCGTTGGCCCATGAACTGAAGGGTCTCTCTTGAGTTAGATTGCTGGGCAAGGGCATGTACCTGGGTTACAGGTTTGATTCCTGGCCTTGGTTGGGGTGCGTGCAGCAACCAATTGATGTGTCTCTCAGTGTTTTCCCCACTCCCCACTCCCTTCTCTTAAAAAAAACCCCCACAAAATAATGGAAAAATTATCCTCGGGTGAGGAATTATAAAAACAAAAACTGGACTTAATGAAATCCAGCTCTTCTAAGTTTTATGGTCATCCTTATTAAATAATCTAGATAATTAGAAATACACTGGGGCAGCAATTTTTAAAATGACAAACATATACTAATGTATTATTTTGAGTACATATTTTTATGAGTTATCTGAAATTGCCTTGTCATTAAGGAGCGAGACCAATGGCTACCGAATAGGAAAAAAGAAATCCTTCCACAATTAATGTCAATTAGCAAACATTTGAGTAGACACCATGAATAGTAAATGCTGCAGAAGACGTAAGAAAGACATGGTGTTTGGATATTTTATTAAGGTGTTAGTCGCCTTATGCAAGAAGGATAGAAAAAAATAAAGGAAGTGAAAAAAGTAAAACAAGGAGAACAACTGGGTCCTGCTATGAGAGAAAAGGAAAAATGTGAAACATCACAGAGAATGAAAGGACAGAACCTGGATATCAGTCAGATATTTATCACTTACATACCTGGTTTTATTTTCATAACCACTGGCTTTCGGTTTTTATCCCTCATTTGTCTGATATCCAACAGGTCATGAGGATTGCCATTATGCCTGGGCCAGCAATAGACAAATATTCGAGACCCACTGCTACCACAGTCCACCACGATACCATAGTTCACACTGGGGTTATTGGTATCTGTAGCTTCAATGTCAGTAACTCGTGCCAAGTACCTAGTTTAGAACAACAAACATATACTTTTGAGACAGAGAATATCATTCTAAACCTAAAGGAGCAAGTGCAATAAACAAACACCACGTCGGTGATTTCTAAGTGCAGTGACACCAATATAACATTTTTACAACTGCCAAATGATCAGTCAAAGGAAAACAAAACAAGTGACAGTGAAAAAGATAATCTAAAATTATTCCTTTAAAGAAGTTCAAACAAGTTCTGAAAAGTAAAATTACTTCCCAACTATCAATATTAACTGAAAAATCAGCTTAAAAGATATCACAGAAGCTTATGTTAAATCCTCTTATGAGGAGGATTTGGTGGTTAATGATTAAACAGTTTCAGACAGTTTAATTTTTCATGCCATGCTGTATTCAGTGCAGCATCTGTTTCCTACAGCTACAGGCTCCTTAAATGCCACCTAATCCCAAAGTCTTGAAGCCATGAAATGAAGGTATGGCATCCCATCTAGAAAATAAATGGTTTGTATTCTCTTACCTTTGAAACTTTTTGTCTCTGGATAGTCGCCCATATTTATTTCGGATTATGACAACAGAAAAGTATAAAAGTGAAACAGCAGCAGCCAGAATACTAATAACAACAATTTGGCGTAAATTGGTATTCAAAATTCGAGGACATCCCACTGGAGAGATGCTAAAATGCCAGGAAGCAGGAAAAAGACAGGAGATGCCAAGTCTGAAATTCCAAAAAAACCAAAACAAAACAGATTTTAAAGCAATCTGCTCCAAAGAGGACTCCCTTCACCTAAACTGATCCAAAACAAGACATTCAGTTTGAGCTGCCCTGACTTCCCTGCTGATAGGCATCTGTATACCAGCACCTTCCATATTACTACTTTGCTACATAACTCATTACAGTCATGTGCTGCATAAAGATGTTCCAGTCAATGACGGACTGCATATATGACAGTGGTCCCATAAGATGATAATGAAGCTGAAAGATTCCCATCACCTAATGACGACATAGTGCAATAACACATTACTCATGTTTGTGGTGATGCTGGTGTAAACAAACCTACTGTGCTGCCAATCATATAAAAGTGAAGCACATACATTTGTGCACAGTACATAATACTTGATAATGATAAGAAATGACTGATACTGGTTTAGGTATTTACATACTATATTTTTTATCGTTACTGTAGAGCAGGGGTGGGCAAACTTTTTGACTCGAGGGCCACAATGGGTTCTTAAACTGGACCGGAGGGCCGGAACAAAAGCATGGATGGAGTGTTTGTGTGAACTAATATAAATTCAAAGTAAACATCATTACATAAAAGGGTATGGTCTTTTTTTTTTTTTAGTTTTATTCATTTCAAACGGGTCGGATCAGGCTCGCGGGCCGTAGTTTGCCCACGGCTGCTTTAGAGAGTACTTCCTACTTATAAAAAAGGTTTGCTGTAAAACAGTATCTCATGTTATGCAGACAGCAGCCTCATATATCTCCTGCTTACCGCATCTCTTGAATGCATCATCTTATCTTGTGCTTGATTTAATCTTGTGTTGTTTTGTACAGTGACATACAGGCTTGTAGTCTAGGAGCAACAGGATAGGTATATAGTAGGACATACCATGTAGGCTTGTGTAAGTGCACTCTGTGATTGCACAATGATGAAATTGCCTAACGATGCATTTCTCAGATAGTATCCTTGTCACTAAGCAGTTAATGACTGTATTATAAAATTATATGAATGAGAATTAATATTGATGGTTATGACACTTGTGTTTTCCCCCCTTTCTTGAGAGAATTATGCAGATTATCTGTACCCTGCTTTGTTCCAAAAAACTAGAGACAGCTTACAAGAATAAGTTCAATAACATAAATAAATCTAAAACGCAATCAGGTTTAAGGATGATGAAACCAAAAGACAATTTAGTACATAGGAATGCATGTAATAAGGTAGGTCTTAAACAGTGGCTGAGCATCCTCATGGCCAATAATGTTGCCAATTAGATTACAAAAATATAAATATCTTAAAAGGAGTAAGATTTTCCTAACACTGAATTCCAAGGCAAATCTCTCCCTGAAGATTAAGTGAGAAAATGATATCTTTGAAAACATCCCCATAACAAAGTCAATAAATGAGCTATGTATGTCCTGTGTTTTTGGAAATATTCCTGAAACATTTTTGCAAATAAACACTTCTCAGTTTATGTCAGGAATGAAAGGCTTCATTAGGCTTAAAAAAAAACTTTCTAACTTTAGAATAAATTTTATTGTTTTCCAATTAATTTCTACACTCTCCCCTCTAAAGAGTGCTTCATGGACTCACAGAAGAGTAAGGTATCCTACTAACCCAATGGAAATTTCCATTTGTAGTTTCTAGCCTGCATGAAGGTTCTTGGGCCAGTCCATGGAGTTTATCATCCCCTCTGAGGCTCAGAGACAGTTATCCTGTGCTTAATACAACCCATTGCAGATTCCAGCATAACATGCCCTTTATAATAAACTACATTAACTCCTGCAGAATCCACCTGGCATTATCACTTTCTTTCTGTGACAGGTGCCCATGGGGCCCTGAAAGAACAACGGTATAAAACAGAAGTGTAGCACAACTTTGAATACTTTTCACTTAGGATTTATATCCTCCTCCCCCTCAAAATCTGTTTCGGTGGCACCAAAAATCTCGGGCTTCCACTGCAGTGATTAGGCACCATCACTCACCTGCCCATGCTGACAGGTCAGAGGTCAGGTAATGTTCTGGGAGTTAGTCTTCAACCACTATTACAGCAACAACGAGGTCCTCCCAGAATGAGAACCCTCCTGTTTCAGGAAGTAAGAAAAATCACCAAGATAGCATAATCCAAGAAACGTCAATGTTCATTATCAACTGTATGTTTAAATCCCACCACACATAGTCTGGTACATGATCTGTGCACTGAAGCTGTTAAGGGTTTATTCTGAGCGTGTAGCTTCTGCATTAGCACTAATCTAGTTCCTGTCTATCTTTCTAGTCTTATCCCCTGACAGATAGATGGATATGTACCCTATGCTCCAGCCATCTTAAACACAAGCTGCAAGTCACTGAAATGTCCTGCATTCCTCTGCATTTGTAGAATGACGTTTTGGGGCCCAATGTAATCCTAGTGACACAAGTCAAGCATGATTTCTCTGTGAGGACTTCCCCAATCCTCATATCCCCAGAGTATTTGCTCATCACAGCAGTGGGCTGCAGTATTAGACTTGTGGCTGGCTGACTTTCTCATCACAGGGCAAGCCCCTTGGCAGGGACAGCCACTTATTCTTCTGTTTCTCCAGTGACCAGTGCCTATCACACAAGTGAAGAACAACCATTGTTTGTGTCACGGATGGCTGGGAATGGGAGATGCAAAGATGAATCAGACATGGATCCAGTACTTAAATTTCTAATGCAGGAGAGGGGGAAACCACCCCCGCCCCCCCCCACACACACACATACACAGTGTTAGTAAGGCCTACCTGACAAAGTTAAAAATCACTTTAATTAGTTCAGGTTTTAATAGGTGTCCACATTGTACCATAGACCCAAAACTTAGGACAAACAATATTAATGGTTTAAAATTTTACACAAAAAAAGGAAAAATATGTCAATTACCTAGGTGTTTAAATGAATTTTACTGTTTTTGTAAAATAGCTACCTTTTAGCATTTGACTATAGTGAAATTACTACAATATACCTTTATTAGAATTCCAGTGGCTCAAAGATCTCAATATTTTAAACATCCATTAAAATGTAAGATTACATAATCTTGGAATGGGTAAGGCTTTTCTACAATATCAATGTCTTAAACCATGAATGAAAGAAAATACATCTACACATGAGTTTAAGACTTCTGTATGTTTAAAAATAAAAAATCCATTCCCAAACACATAAGGCTTGGGAAAATTACTTATACCATACATGACAAAAGGTAAATATCCCTTACATATAAAAAGTTCATAACATAAATACATAAGAGAAATACAGGAACAAGTGAACAAGGATAATTGGAAATTAATGAACTAAGAAATACAAATGGTTGATAAAAATAACTTTATTAGTATTTAGATAAATATAAATAAAAACCAAAACTTTACCACTATCAGGTTGACAGAAATTAACATCTAAGGATACTTTACTAACAAAGGGGAGCGAGAAACGTCATGAATGCTGCTGGGGAGAACTAAGAAGGTACTAACCTTCTGAGGGCATACTGGTTAACAGATATGGCAATTTTTAATATGCTTACCCTCTGCACAACCCATCACACATCCAGAAATTCATACTTAGAAAACAACAGGGTAAAACTATGTACCCATCATAGTATTGTGCATAATAGCAAAACATTGTTTCTAAACTAATGTGTATTACAGGAGGTGGGTTAAGTTAAACATGGTCCATTTATGAAACAGAATACAATGTGGCTATTAAAGGTGATCGTGCAGATCCATATTTATTGTCATGGAAAAGATGTCCATGATATTTCAGTGAAAAAAACACACCATGCATAAGAGAGGGCAAAATGGAAGGAGAAAAACCAAAATGTTAACAGTGGTTAGTTAATTCTGAGTAGTGAGAAATGGATCATCTTTATTTTTTTCCTTAGGCTTAACTATATTTTTAAAAGGGCACATATTAATTTTATCATCAAAAAAACAACAGAACTATTTAAACAAGCTACCTTTGACTGATATATTCCGTTTCCAGCATCAAATCCTCTTCTGGGTAGATCAAGAAAGCCTAGCTTAAAAACTCTTCATGACACAGGAATTCTGATCTAAACATTTTTTTGTGATAGTTGAACTAAAGAAAAAAAAAAAAAAAGAATGCTTTAGTTAACAGCCTAAAGTCAAGGTCCTTGGGGGAAGGAAGGCCTTGAATGATTCAATGATGCGTACCATAAAGGGCACTCAGGAATAACAAACCTGACTCCAGTTTCAAGGAGTTTGCAGACTGGTTACAGAGATAATACTAGCACCCAGGAAATAATTAAGAGTACAACAGAAGGCAAAGTTAAATTATTCGGACTAACAGAGTTCAGAGAAGACCACAAGGAAGGCTGGTAAACAGGAACCACTTCCTGAGTCAGAGGCCAACTTTGGATGGGGGAGAATAAAGAATACATTTTTAGAATGATCATAGCAAATTTAGTAAATGTTATTTAATCTAGTGTTTGTCTTAGGACTTATTTTCGAGATGTGAGGATTTTTAAAAAAAGGATAAATAGGTATTTTTCTATGTTACAAAACTTGTGTTTAAAGACAAAGAGAAAATAGGACAGCTTATAAGTTGCTGATGTAATTACTATTATTTAGGACAAAAGTATGGCTGAATATTACCCAGCAATCAACAATATGGTAAGCTGATCTTAACATGTAAACTCCCATTGTTTTTGCAGCTAAGAATCTTGGCACCAAAGTTTAGGGAGGCAAAGTCTTACTAATTCTCTATGTAATAAAAGCCTAATATACTAAGTGTCCGGTCAACCAGTTGGCCATTGAATCAATCAAAAAGTAATATGCTAATGATATGCTAAGGCCCCTCAACCACGAGGTATGATGTGCACTGACCACCACGGGGCAGTCGACTGGTTGACCAGTTGCTATGATGTGCACTGACCACCAGGGGGGCAGATGCTCAGACCAGTAGGTTAGCTTGCTGCTGGGGTCCGGCTGATCAGGACTGAGTGAGACGGGTCTGACAAGCCCTGGAGCCCTCTTGTGGTCCCTCCCCGGCTGGCCAACCTCCCGTGTTCCTCTCCAGGCCCGATCATGCACCGGTGGGGTCCCTCGGCCTGGCCTGCGCCCTCTCACAATCAGGGACCCCTAGGGTGATGTCGGAGAGCTGGTTTCGGCCCAATCCCACAGGCTAGGCCGAGGGACCCCACTGGTGCACAAATTTGTGCACCAGGCCTCTAGTATTACATAAAAATGCCACATTTTCAAAAGGCCTAAATTATATTAGACCTATCATCAGAGAAACCCATTTCTCTCACTGAAAAAAAAAAAAACCACAACAAAAACAACAGTGAAAACCATATACATCAATTGTAAAGTGAAATGGTTCCTGTGGTGAAAAATGAAAATGACAGGAAGGGTGCTTAAAAAGGAATGATGTGATTATTAGAGGTTACAAGGAAGAATTTTTGTGAGAGTGAAAGGAAGGTGAAGTGAAGGATACTCAGCGCACTCAATTGTGGGGAAAATACATCAAAACAACTTGATTCATTCTTTGTTTTAAGAAGAATGCATGGAGTTGCATTAGCATCTACATTTTCTTTAGCATTGATTTTTAAATTTAAAATTTTGTCCCCATGTTAAGAGATCTTTTTCTGGTCACACTTTTTTCTGAATCACCTCTGTCGTTTCCCAAATCTGCAAGTCTGACTTTCCTCAAGTTTCAGTTCCACATCCTGAGCTCACCGATGGCTGTTATCATAAACTCATTTAGTCTGAGTCTGTGGTCACAATCTTTTGACACAAATTAATACCACCTTCCAAGTTCTCCAAGTCTAAGAGAGGCATCACCACTGACCAGGGGTATCACCTGGTTCTTAACTTTGATTCCCACTTATCTGTGTGCTACCAATTCTTCCTCAAAAAATCCACACATCAAACATGACCACAGAACACATCACAGGTCTCTAGGCAGGTCGCTCACCTTCTACCTGCACCCTGAATGCCCCCCTTCAGAAATAGCTCTCTGTAAAACACTACCTTCAAAACATAACCAGCTCAAGAACTTCCGGGAGCCCATGGGGTCAACAGCAACTTTCCACCAACGGATCCCATCTTATTTCACCAACCTGTTCTCGCCTGGGCCACAGATAACATCTTTCTGCCCTAGTGAGGTGGGTCTCTCATTCTTGCCTTGGCCCTTTAATGTCACTTCCTCCTACTACGTCCTGCTGTCAACACCATACTTCCTTCAAGGCACAGGTCAATATTTTTCTTTGCAAAGGTTTAAACTGTTGCACTTTCTCTTGTTTTCCCACACTCTGAAACTGTGTTCATTTTTTAAAAAACATGCTGGAATAAATATGTAGGAAACACACATATAATATAAATAAATATATAACTCCCCAGATGAACTTTCTTTTTGTTTCTTCTTTCTAGACTGTACACAAGGATTGAGACCATGCATTCCTATTAGGGCTAGAAAACGGTACACCATACATTCAGTAAGCAACAAACACAGGTGGTAAATTAATGTTAAGGTCAACACAGACATAAACAAACTATGTATACAAATTAGTATTTCGTTTTTTAACTCTGCTCATGTGTCGAGCAATTAACAAACGTGATACAAAGACAAGATGACATCAAATATAACACAAAGAATAGGAGTCTTTTCCGTCTCTTCCAGGCTGGAGAATTAGGTGTTATCATTACACGAGGAAGGGCACAGTCAAAACTGCAAAGTGAAATTAAACTAGGGACTTGCGTCACTAACTTAGAATTCTTTAATAAGCTCCGGTTTATCTTTTAGCGCGGGAGGTGCTGAAGGGTAAAGCACGTCTTTCCTTTCCTGATAGTGATAAAGGTTCTCTGAAAACGCTCCGCACCAGTGTGCATCTAACCGGGTTCTGGAGAATAAGACAACTAACTGTTCCTTTAAAAGGGGTCCATGCATCACTTAGAAACACTGCTCTCATCAAGATTTTATCGCGCAATTAGTTCCATCTTTTTCCAAGGGGAGAGCTAAAGCATGAAATTTAATATGAGCAAAAACGATGCTGAACGTGACTGTAAATGTAATGACAAGGCGCCAGGCGAGAACCCCTGGGTCTTCGGCGCAGCAGCCCTTCTCCCGGGCCGGGTCCCTTGTCCCGGGCCGGGTCCCCCCGCAGTGGGCCCGGATCCGCCCCGCTACGTGGAAGAGGGAAGACCCAGCGCGGTCA